TTTCAAAATAATTTAAAAAAGGTACTGATATTTTAGTAATCTTTAAATTTAATTTATATTATTATACGAACATTCATATTTAACATATTAACGTAATTTCAAGAAAAATTGTTAAAAAGAGTTAAAGAGGAGACGAGCTTCATCATCGGGGCTTCTAGCGTCTCATAAAGTCCCTTTCACTTTTTCGCGAAGCCCCGACGAGCTCATGTCCGCAAAGGTGGCAAATGTCATCCTTCCGCGACGCGGGGGAGTAACCCTATCCTTCGATAAAGAGCGTCGCGTCGATAAAGGGTTGGCCAGACGTCGTCGTAATGCGATACTTCTTCCATTATACATGCATATATTCGAAATGCATATGAGAAACGGTTCGTTTTACAGGCGGAGGAAATTGAAGAGAGGATCGCGTGCGAGAGTCGTCGCGATCGCAGAGGTGAACTTTAAGTGTTGTCATTCGAGAAGTCGTTTGTCGCTTTTCGCTACGGCGAACGCTCGCGAACGTTGCTCGAAACTGCTAATGCGATCGCGCACGCGATTACGTTTCGATCAGAGATTTTCCGAATTAACGAGTGCGATTATGATAATCTTTCTTACACTGAACTCGAGATTGTGTGGTAAATGCTTAAATTTATTTATGTATTTTAATTTATCTAAAAGCAACAACAAAATGTTCGAATCTTAGAAAGATTTCCTGAGAACACCTTGATTTTCCAGATATTTATTTTCGTTCAAAATTCCAAGCAAAATAAGAAACCTCCAGAGACTCAATTTCGATAAACTTTTCGAATCCTCCGATAAAACTTGCTGAGAATTCCGGGTTCTCTAAGCTTTCAAACGATAAATAATGTAGCGATTCTAAATAATCTAGTAATAATAGAAAAAATCGCAATTCTTATCAATTTCTTTCAGTGCTATAATTTGTATACTTCGAAGTATTATAAATCATTTACCGGTCGATTGAATTAATTATACTAGTAATCCTAGTATAACTACGGAATAAAGGTAGACGTAAGATAGAAGATAGGTGGAGGATGCGATCAAAAAGTGCGCGGTTCAACCCACACAACAATCAGCGTCGCGGCTCATTACCCTCGTTAGAGAAGGGTTCGTTAAGCAGCCTAATAGCTGATTGATAATTACATGAATTAGACCCCGCCCCGTTTAAGGCATCCACTCCAATGAAATTGACATTGGTTCCCCGTTTGGTTCCTGGGTCGCCCTAAACGATGTGAATTGCCGGATTAATTGCACTAATGCTTTGTCGACGTCGCAAGGCTTTTTCCAACCACACACGCAACGATCACACGCGACCGCACACTTCTCTCCGTTACTAGGTAAAGTAACGAAGTAATCCTTTTCCCAGAATGAGAACACGAGCTATCCCAGTTTTTAATTATTACACAATTACGCTAAATCCTTATGAGTTAAAGTAGTGGTTTATTTAATCTTGAAATAGCACCGACGGTTTTATTCCTGGCTTTTGTCTCGACTCGCTAACGACTTTATATAGGTCAAAGTTGCGCCGTCATCTCACTTTGCATTCTGAAATAGGATGAAATTCTTTTGCCGCGCCATGGAAATCCGAAGCCAAGAATTTAAATGCAAAACGGAGCCACTTGAAGACCCAGGGGTCGGCGGAAAATTTTCTTCTACTTCGGGATTGTGAGATGCGTGCTACTTAACACTACGTGACGGAACAGACCTCGATTAGCAATTTTTCAAGTATTCCACGTATGCGTCGCACAGGTTACAAAGAAACTCCATGATCGTGTCAGGGATCACTTTGTTTATCACTCGAGGAACAAAGCCGCCACTGTATTGAGCTTCCATAGAGAAAGCATTGTAACGGGAGCATCTCGATGGCACAAAACACGCACCATGCTCATCCCTTCTGACCGGCCGATAGGCATCGATCGCGATCGAGATGATATTGCATGTTCGTAATAAGTATCACTTGAGCTTGAATCGAACGCAGGTGCACGCGCAAGAACGTAATTCGCTGTTATTGAGAGAAATCGGTATTCAGACCGCGCACTTTGAGATCTCATTACTCGTTCGCGCTTTGACCTCTGCAGACCCGCGCGCATTAAAGCCTTTAGTAAAATTGAATTCGAGGTTACCGTTATTTTATGGCGCAGTTTCCTCCGAACCCTCAGCAATACCTTCTTTTTAAGACATTACATCGATTTTCGTTTGTATGATGTTTTGGTATTCAATATTTTTAAATTAAAATGCAGATTCTTACGAGTTTAAATTTCTTTGAAGCCATATATATATATAGACGCAAATAAGTTTTTATTATTTATTTTTTCATGACCAAAAACTTAATTTTTGACTGTCATTAATTAGCTAGCGATCTAACTACATCTATACGTTTATCGTAATCTACAAATACGTGTTTTGCACGAACAGACAAAACGTACGTTTGAATGGCAGCGCGATACCACGGAATTCCCATTCAGAATACACCAAGCCATTAACCCGGTATAAAGTCTCGTCGTCTAATCTTGCACGCCGATCAGAGAGCCGCAATTAATTCAACACCCGGCACGAAGTCACTATTAACCTGACTCGCGAGTCGTGAATTCCGGGCGACATATTCGTGGTTTTTCGTCGCGGAACAAGTACAAAGCAGCAAATACCGCCGAGAGACTTTGCGGGATTAATAACTAACGCGAACGGGGACGGAAATCTTCGTATTTTTCAAGGAGATCGCGCACGGCTCGTTCCGCCGCACCGAGCGAGAACACGAAAAATCATGACGGACGATAATTAAGCGCGGAGCGGTGACATCCACGTAATTATCATCGCTCATGCGCAGGATAACACGTCAATTACGCGAGGGCGTTGACCAGGATTTTAACGAAGCTCAATTGCATAAATCTTTCGGCCGGCGCGTTCTCTTACTTACGTTCGCGAGGATTCTCCTTCGAACTAACTTACGTGCGTTGCAGCCGTAGGGTCAATGGACACCCACGAGGAGCTGCTCTCGTCAATTAGTACCGGGGAATCTGTAGTCAATTATGCGCCACGTCGGTGGATTAACCCGTCCGCGTATCGAGAAACATGTAATTTATCATAAGCTGAGATATTAGTTTCAGCCACGAACTTCTCCTCGATCGTGGAAATAAGAAAAACACTGTAAACCAGACATTTTATTTATTAATTGTGACGTTCTAATTACAAAGCGTTATTGCAGCTTGATATTTTGCGATATTTTGATAAAAATTTTAGGTTGTTATATTTTTCGTTATTAGTATCTATATTCTCAAATTACAGCGAAATACTCAGTTCGCGGCAAGGAGACGCGCTCGAAATTCATCGCGGTCGATTAATTTTCGCGCAGGTAGTTATTAAAAAAAGCTGAGAAATAAGGCAGAGATTTGCCATCCTTCTCGCGGTGCGTATACACAACACGCTTGATAAGGCACGGAGCAGTCACGCTTTCTAAATCTAGCCGCTACTGATCCCTTTTTATTACCTCCTCTCGATATATCTTTCAACTAATGGTAGTGCAGACATAATTTTGTCGCTTTAATCACGAAGAGATAGTAAGTTAAAACAACATTAAAATTCTTAGAAAATTCAGACTTTTCCACATTATGTTTCTGGGTCACACGGTTACGCACATACATTGAGAAAATGATGAGAACACAGATTTAAAATGTCATTAAACCTATATGACGTAAATAAACGTAGAACACTTAAAGAGATATCTCTTGCATATTCTTTTGTCAATAGAAATTCGTAGAAAAAGAAATCTGGAAGCAGTATCTCGTTTTTCCCCATTACTATCTGCAACCGCATGTTGCCTTGTATTCGTTTCGTTATCAGCATCCTTCGAAGGAAATGACGTTTCACGAGAGAGGTATCCTGATAACGCTTATCACGTTAGTAATACCAAGGTAAAGTTGATCATTAATTAACGTTTGAATCTGCTTGTAAACGAGACGATTGAGACATATGTGTTTCTGTAACTGTGTAACTAGTACGATAATTAAACTTGTTTACGGGATACAGTATGCTCCACAAATGACGATCGGCGGAGGAAAAGACTACCTAGGTGAGCCTTCACGATCGATTCGACTTTAAGTAATAACTTAATTCGCGAGCCATCCTGTAGCCACGTCTTACTACTTGCAATGTCAACTAATCTCGTCAGCGGGGCGCAGCATCTCGCTCGCATCGCTGGCGACGACTACTGGCTGAATGTAAATCGATCAGGCCTGTCACGATTGGCGGACGGAACAACCGCACGTTCCGCTAGCTTCGCGTTTCCACGAGCTTATAAATAATCGGTTTAACTGCCCCTCACCTTGCGCTTGGGAACAACACCTGCATTTTGCCCACCATGCACAACGTCCATTCTACGCTTCTCGTAATTAACAAAGCTCAACTAAGGCTCTAAATCTTATGCAAGCGAGAGAAGAAAGGGGGAGGAAACGCGTTGAGAAATCTTTATTGCCCTTTCATTACGCGTACCTTGAAGAACTTTCAACCCTTCGTTATTATAATTGTCTAGATGGCATAATTGTTACGATCTCAATTAAATTTTATAAATAAATAATTAATGTTACAATTATTAATAAATTGCGAAAATATCAAGTTTATAGTGTCACATTTTGCCTGTATAACTATATAATAATAGAAAATAATAGCCACGCATAAAAAATGAAAACTATTACTTCACACAACACATATGCAGAAATAAGTAGACTCCGTCTGTCTAGCGACCGGTCATGTGTTGAGTGCACCTACCCTAAGTCAAACGCAAGACAAGCTATTGATTGGTTCCCTCGGCATTCCTCACGTTCCCGAATACTCGATAAAACTTGAAATTTATGGAAAATGAGCCGCGGCAAAGCAAGTACTTATTTAAAAAAAGGGCAAAAAATGAAACAGCAATTCAACGCGCAGTTCAACCGGAAATGTCGCCCATGGGAAGTCCGCAGTGCGGTACGCTCCCGTTCTGTCTTTCTCTCGCCTGTTTCACATATTGTTACCTTTTCTTCCCGTATCCGACATTGTCGAGCTCGACGTGTCTGTACGCCGCGTAGGTGGCCATGGCAATCCCCCAGGACCTAACCCGACCTAGGACAGTTCCACGAAGAAGGTGCCTCTGAACGACCCCGTAGCGCGGCCAGCCCTCCCTATTAAGGGTTATCCCTCTTCCAGGGTGCGGAGGAAAACGCGAGCGCAGAGCACGAGTCCGAACGGACGGATCTCTTATTCGTCTTCGCGCAAACTTCTTTCCCGGCTCAGGTGATCGCGATCTTTTGACAGCTGCGAGTGTTTGTGCTGCTCGCGGTGTCGATTCCGCGAGTTCGGACGAGAAACTGACGGTCGAACGAGGATCCAGCCGGTATATAACGCCTCCTCCACCGGTGCTTCGTACCCGTCTCTCTCCCTCTCCTTCTTCCTGTCACTCCTTCTCTCTTTCTCTCCTCTCCCTTCCCAACGGGAGCTCTCGCGACTCACCACTTCCACCGCGAGTACCCCAGCAGTGCCGTATGCACTTCCACCCCTGTCCGCGGACCAGGAGAGACGACGACGCCGACGCCGACGCCGAGCATCGTGCATTCACCTCAATCAATACGCTCGGCGAACCAGGGAGAGGAGAGGAACAAGAGAGAGAGACAGAGAGAGAGAGAGAGAGAGAGAGAGGGGGAGGATGAGGAGAGGATTCGCCGGCGCGTAGGCATCGTTCGCTGCACATGCATGCTGCACGTGTGGACACGCGGAGGGTAATGAGCGGGGACCGGAAGACCCAGAAGGGCGCGAAGTCTGGAAACATCAAACAGGCGAGAGATGGAAACGTTTTGGGAACCGCTATTTGACAGTAATCCTTTGCTTTGATTGCACGCAAGAGATTGAGATCTCTTTTTCCATTTTGGAGGTGAATAATACGAGTGTTTATGCACCCAGATTCGATGGGGTGAACCGAAAGAGAAGAGAGGTAAACAGAGAAGAGCGAAGAGATACGAAAAGCGAGGCGGGATGTGCTCGCATTTCAAAAATATCCGAAGATTTTAGTATTCGATTTTAGTGTTCAATTTTTTAATTTACACTAAAGTTTCAAATTTTATATACCAATTATGTTTTTCCAATTACATTTTAGTTTTACTCAGTAATCGTGAGAGTTCTCACTTCTCGCGAATAATCGTGAGAGTTCAATGGTCAAAGTGATATATTTTTTCACAATCCAGCCATGTGTGTTATCAAATTTTTAAATATTTAGTTCGTGTCGTGCGAGCAACGCAATGACAATAAAAGATTAATGCGGAAACCTTTGACGGATTTTATTGAGTATAGCTCGTACTATCGGAAGGCTGTATTTATCGCAATTACCAGTGTTCAAATAGGGCGTCGGACGGAAATGTAACGAATGCCGCCTTTGCCGTATGATTCCACGATTCATGGTCAACAAAACATAAAGTCAGCAAACAGATTGCGTTTCGTAGGCTTGGCGCGTGCTTTCTCGAGGCGTTTCTTGAAGCAAGTATGACTTGAGGATCGTCGCGACGTACACAATGTTATAATGGTATATAGATAAACGCCGATGGCATGTCGCGTTGTACGCAATTGAAAATTTAATACGTAGGTACAGAACGGAGCAATGACACACCGTAAGAATAATACCCCCCACGCTTAGTAGCGCACATCGATTTATTCTATCATTGCGTGTGGACCTCCTAAACATGAATAGATTCAGATATAATGTAACCGTATCATTTCATTAATCTTTTAATTCAATAAAATTTTCCGAAAAATTGCCATATTGCCCATATCAATTGAAAGTATCAACAATAACCGAAAGATTAAACCTACTACGCACAAATATAAGACGTTAAAAAATTTTGGGAAATTATGGGAAATACTCTTAGGCCTTAACAGATACTTATATATATATCTTATCATCATCAAGTAAGTAATAAATTAACTATATGTTAATAATTATATATGTTCACCAAAAAAGTGAAAAAATGTGGACAAATAATAATTGCCATTGTTATTCGTTGTCTGCATCTATCTCCGTCTCATAGAAAATATTGTATTTCCGCGAGATGTTATCCAACGGGCAGATATAATTACATATTGCAACTTTATAGCGCGTGGGCGGCGAGTAAAAAAAATGACGTCACGTATCTCTACGCCCGCATCCCGCGCCTTTAGCCTTAGTCGAGAATTCTCGTTTTCTCAACTAGGAAGAGACACGCGACGTGAGACTTGGTTATTTTATCGTTCTCACATGCAATTGCATCTCCGTGACTGCGCTCACGTTTAATAAACTTTCCAGGCAAAAACTTCCGGAAAGCTGATTTACGCGAAGGGGATAAACTGCGAACGATGAAACACGAGACGAGGACGGGGCTTCCGTCAGTCTGTTTTTCGAGGGTTTCGCCGGCTGCGACCCTCGGGGAGAGAGTTCGAGAGAGTTAGCCGATCCACGCGTCACGACGGGGCGCCCGCGCCCTTAGGGGATGTTTCTTTCGGTCCTGAACGCTGTTTGCGTAATTAACCGATTAAATCGCCGTGGTCCCTTTACGACGGATGATAGAAGCATCGGAATTACCGAGAATTGAGTGCCGGCGACGAACCGACGATTCACCCCGTCTGCAAATTTCATCACGCTCCGATACCCGCGCGTCGGATGTAATGGGACAAATTTTACGCGCGTGCGGCTCGAGGTGTGCGAAATTATTCAAATCCCGATGCGTTGCACGCACAAATTTGCGCTCCTTATAGACAAGATCTTTGCACCGCGATAATGAAACACGAATAATGTCAAATTCGATGCAAGAATATCACAAATGTCATATTTAGCGTTTGTAACAAGTTTGCAAATTATAAAATCATAAAAGTATTCGTTTACTACCACATTTTAGCAAAGTGATAAATATATCTATATATTAAATAATTTTGCAATGTAGAATTATTTTAATTTTTATTATTATATATCTTAATTGTCTTAATATATAAAATATTAATCTTATTCTTTAATAGTTGAAAATACAAGACTCGCGCAGTTTTTAATTTATCTGTATCAATTTTACAGAAAAGATGGATCATTATATTCCCCAAATTTAATCACCATCTGGAAAATAAAATTTGTAAGATTACGGGAAACGTGGAAGTATCGCGTTATCCGCACTCATGAAAGTTATTTTTAAATGTCAAAAATGTAAAAACCTCGTTCAAAAATTCCCTCATTAACGCAGCCGATGCATCGTGTGATAACACGCGAAACCCGTTTCGTTCGCGGCACACGTGCACTAACTGCGCTACGCCTATTATCGTTTCTATATGCTTCTTAGAATAAGTTTAGCATCGGCTTTATGTTGCCGGCCTGTACAATGTTAGGAGAACACTGGAGTATTTACAGTACACACAGTGTTCCAAAAATATCCATGTTGTTTAATTGTGGATAAAAAAGGTAGATAATAGTTTCAACATTGATAATTTTATCCTTGCAAGTGACTAGAAATTATATTAAAAATGTAAGAACGGATCTATATATTAAAGTTTTCAATAGATTACACTTTAATGACATTTTAAGTAACAAGATATTTAGTTTAAATATTTTTGATCAAACGTAATCTTCAAGCCAATCACTCTGAAATAATATTTTATTCCAAATAATCATTCAAATATATTTTTTACGGCATATAAGCGCGCTTTAGAGAATCTATGCAGAATCTTTTGTCCGGTATCTGGGACAAGTGTTGCCGGGGGTGAGAAAGAGCTGACGATGTATTCCGACCGACGGTTTTGTCGGCGAGCATACGGCGGATCTTGTGAAGCGAAAGCCACAGTTCCGGGCAGATTCATCGATTCAACATATTTCTTTCGTGGAATGGACACGACCTATTTATTTCTAAGGAATCCGTTAATTATACCGTTGAGATCTTCAGTGATCATTTTTAATTCATAAGTCTAGCAGTCTCTCTTTTAATATTATTTATAAAAAAACGTTTCACGAACTGTTCCCAAAACGACGAAGAGACATTCACTCGCAATCACAACCGGAGCGGACGATAATCGTACGAATTCGAGCCGGTATTTTGTCTGGAACATCAGATTGCGCGTTCCCTGTGCGCACCGAGCATTTGCGTGGCCAACCTTATTTCCGCCGGACGATAAAGAATACCGAGACCGAGTCTCGTTGAATCCAGAGCCGTAGATCTTAATGTAACATATACACGGACATAGACTCCCCCTTGAAACAGCGTTTCCTGTGCCTCTGAGAGCGGAAGTTTTCGTAAACGTATCGTCAGAGAACTCGCTCCTTCTGTCTAGCGAATTATCAGCCGATTTACCTAAGACTAACAAGCACCTGATCGTTTCCGTCAGTTGAAAGGCACTTAGACGCATTAAACTCTGTCTGCAACTTTTTAGATATTGCAATTAGAATAATCGTAGATCTGTGTTCGTGTGTGTCAAGATGTTGATATTAATTTAAATGTTAATCTTTAAAGAAATATAATTTAGGTTAATTTTTCTTAAGTATTACTAATACCTGATAAATAAACGAATTAAAACATGGTAGATTTCAAGTGGTTCTTCAATTATAATCCATTTTCATTATCGGATTAAACGCGTCTGAAAGCACATTGGCGAGAAGCCAATTACAGAAGTTCGTCCACTAGCGCGGGCTCTTGAGAAAGTTTACGACGAAAGTGGACAGATTTCAAAAACACATCGCGAAAACATATATTTCACAAGTAAATATTTATTCGATGCATGATTACGTTTGCAATATATAGAACAATTGAAATAACGATAAAAACAATAAAACGTTGGCGGAATTTTAAGTCCATTAAGTATAGCATTACAAAATAAGTTTCAGTTTTATCCTAAAACTCCAAAACTCCATGGACAATAGTTAGTACAAAGTAATACATTTTCAAATGTGCAAGAAACTGAATTAATAGATTACTAATTAAATAAATCAACGAAACCTCAGTAATTGCCCTTTTTCTACGAAAGTAATAAAACCACTATATATGTATAATTGTAGTTCGCCCAGAAACATTTTTTTTCGATTAAGTTCCCCGCTCGCTTCTCTTGCGGAACGGCAAATGAAACGCGGCTACGCACCCGGTTTCCGTTTTGAAGTGAACGCGCGAAGCGATGCACCACGATGCAGGCACGAACGGGGATGAACGCATCGCGGCCAGCAAAAGGAATGCAAGAGGCCAGGAAACTAAAATACAGCGGGCTAACATTAGACGGGCGCTAGGCATCCGTGATATTTTATTTTTATGATTATGTTGCACCCGGTCTCCCTTAACTTGCCGAAAAGCCGGGCGTAAAAAAAAGCAATGTTTTAAGAATGAGACACGTCGAAATATTGTTAGCCCTGGTAAAGAAACAGACCACGGAGAAGGGAATTCGCGCTGTTCTGAAAGAATAAGTCTTCCGAGTGGGCCAAAAATATTTCATAGAAATTACAAATAAGAAGTAAT